CTTTCAAATATCCTTTTTTCTCCCCTATTTTCTCTTTTTTTTATGTTTTGAATAAGATCAAATATGTGAATAACCCAACATCACATATATAGCAAATTAAAATAACATTTAAAATAGATATGGTCCAAAACATATATGAAGCTAAATTGAAGGGCTCAAACAAAAATAAAACAAGCTTTGTTCAAGAACCAAAAAATATATGCGAGCCTCTATCGCGTCAGCCACCGTTTATTGGTGCCGCTTGTCGACGGTAGAGAAGAGGGAAGGCAACACCAAATGATGTCCCTCCGAATCCTCGGTACAAATTCGAGATCCGATTACCTTAAAAAGGGTCAGATCGATGTAGATATGATGGCGAAGCTTCAAAAAGAATCCTCCGATGACGACACTGAAGAAGATAAGTCTTTCTCTCTTTCTTCCCATTGTTTTTGTTTAATGGCTACTGTGAGTTCGTTTTGGTTTTTGAAAATGGTTTGGATGATTGCTCTCTTTTTTGGTTTTTGCCTTTTTTTTTTCTCTCTAAATCTCCTTTTTCTCCATTATTTTCTATTTTTTATCTGTTTCAAATAGGATTCTTGGTTGCTCCATTTTCGAAATGTTCTCTCCTCGTATATAACCCCTGCTCCCAAAATAAAAAAGCTCACTTTTTAATCCCTTTTTGTTTGATTTACATGCACGAGGGAACGCACGGTGAAGGTCGTTGGGGTCACTATTTTTGCAATAAAGGTTTTTCATCATTCTTTCACACGAGAGAAAGCATCGAGACCACTGGTGCTATTGATATGGTTGTAAGAAGGCTCATGTGAAGTTTGTTAGAAACGTCACTATTGGCACTTTAGAAAGCTCCAAAATTTGAACGTTAGCAAACCGACAGTGGAGCTTCAACGTCAGCGGTGGCTGGAGTTAGAAAATTAGGATAAAACCCTTATATTTTATATCTTGAGTTGATCTGGACCGTTGGATCTAATACAAATCCAATGACTGACACACAGTTGTGCATGTCTCCTCTCTAGGGTTATGAAAACCCTAAATATTACTTTAAATCTAAACTGTTGGAGGGGTCCAAATCGGATGGTCAGGATCAAGCGGCGTATGAAGACTTAATTGGAAACAATAGTTTCCTTCGAGTGAATACACTCAAACTAATGAACACCTCTTGAGCCCACCTATTTGGGCATCTATCGAATCTTGTTTGGTGAACCTAAAAACCTGGTTTTCTTGGTCAAAATGACTCCCTTACTAAAATGGGCTTGAACTTTAATTGAACTTGGGCTTGACTTGTTTGGGTAGCTTTCTAGGTCAAGCAAGCAGACTCGCTAGACTCCTTTTGGACTTTGTTAGATTTGGACCATAACTCTTTAGGACTGGACTGGAACTTGGACTTTACCAATCATATTTGAAATAAGACGAAAGATGAATTAATAACAAAAATGATATAATATATACATACAATAATAATATTTATTATTTTTAAAGATATACTTTAAATTATATATAGTAATATTTAATTTCAAAAGCTATAAATGTTTTTAAATTTAATATATAATATACTAATATTTACTTCAAACTATATATATAATAAAATATACTATTTTCAAAATTATATACAATATAATATATACTACTATATATTTATTAAATGCTTGATTAATAAAATTAGTGAAAATTTATTTTCATTGGTTAAGTGTTTAATCTTTGAAAGATTATTAATGTGTTAATCATTGCATATTGCATAATTGTATTGTCACAGCATAATCATATTGTCAACTGGCAAAGGACGACAATATTCATTAGTCTAGTGGTTTATTTACTCTCTTGTTTGTTACTGCATTCCTTGCCTTTAATACTTTGAATTCTTACCTTTGCTTTAAACTTATTATTTTTTTATTCTAAATTTATCTTTTGCAAAGAATCAACAATTCTAAGTTGTAATCCTTGCTCTCTGCGGGTTTGACATTTGAAACTCTTATAGTTTCCACTTTATTACTTGATATACAACATGTTCACTTGCGATAAATGTTGTAACAATTTCATAGCATCATTAATGGTTTTGAAACTATATTGCATGTTGTTCAGGATTTTGTCGACGCAGTAATAATATTGACAGATGCGAGATACACGGCTGCTTATATTCACACCACCCATACGACAGTTCGGGATTGGATGGTTTTTTTGATGTAGTTTCTGCCACTGTCTCAGTTTGCTGATATATTGGGGATCGTTTACTCCTTGTGGATGAGGCGAAACTTGTTTGTTCATGAATTCAAGTAGTCTAAAAAATGGCACGTGATATCAAAGTCCTGAGCTTTACAAGCGGTTTATACACAGGTTCATGATGTCCTGGATCCATCTTTCTCGCCCTTACGACCTTCTCTTTGGAGAAAACCCCTCACGCTCCACCGTAAAGATTAATGTTGATGGTGTTGTCTCTCCAATGGGTATGTCGGCAGTTGGGATTCTTGCATGAGATGAAATTGGTATGGTGGTCGCTGGGTAGGCATTCACTCTAGCTATCAGGGGTGAGCCTTGTATTGTCGAAGCATACGTCATAACAAATAGACTTCAACTTAGTCTCACTTTAGGTGCTGCACAAATTATCATCGAGAGTGATGCGACAAACTTAGTCCGCCAACTGCAGCGGGGAACGTTGGAGCTTTCAGTGTATAGCTTTCATCTTGAGGAAGCTCTTTGTCTACTGGCCGATAATCCATCCCCACGAGTCACCCATGACCCTCGTACTACAAATGTAGCTGCACATTCTCTAGCCACTTGGGAGTTTCACTCCTTGCCTATTTATTTTGATGTATGCCCAAACTTTATTCGCTCTATTGTATTATCTGATGCTATTTATGGTTAATGCAATTCTCGTTTTGTTTCAAAAAAAAAAAAACTTTAAGCGTGTATTAATTTTACTACTAAACTTTTAAATATTCACATTTCACTCATTTATCTTCTCATCAGATTGATTTTAATGAAATCCACTAAAATTAGATTGAAAAAAGTCATCTAAAAGTCAGACGTGCTACTACTTTGATCTATTTTGATTGTCGTTCTAATGAGGTTAATTTTGAGATATGTTGTTTGTTATATTAAAATAATGTTTCTCACCATTCAAAACTTTGAGCAAACACGCCAAAACCCTCAAATATGAAAAAATTTATAATTCCTTAAAATTGTAGGTTTTGGTTTAATTTTGTCGATTTTAAATGAGTTTCGTGGAAAATCAATCTTATGAGAATAAGGAAATGTGAAATACAAATGTTTTAATATCGGCCTTGTTGTGAAAGACAATATATGATTCACCAGTGACGATAAAAAAATCACTGTAAAAAAGAAAGATGTTTAAAAGTTCAATGATAAAACCGATAAACCTCTAAAGTTTATGACATAAAATGATGTTATTTTAGATATCAATAATCACGTTAAAACGATATTATTTTGTCTATATTATCATCACAGTGATTGTATTTAAACAACCTAGTAAAATAATTAAAATCAAAATTAAAATTAAAATTTAAAAATATAATTGAAATACTTAAAATTTTAATAATATAGACAATAACAACTTAAAATCTAATGATATCTTATCTAATTTACCTAAATAAAGATCAATTGAATCTATTTTTTATTATTCTTTCATAGTTTTCCAAAGCCAAAGAAATCTAAGTCCATCTCATCACTCATCTCCACCATGATCCACTTTTCCAAATTTTTATAACTGATCTTCTCATCACATATCTCTATCACTGTTGATTCTTCATTATCACCGTAATAACTTGTGATTTTAGTGTTTGGTAATGCTGTCTAAAAGTATTTTTAATACAATAAAATATATATTTTAGACATTATAAGATAAATTGAAAATATATTAATTCAATTGTTTTTAGATTTATTATTTATATATAATATAGTAAATTTTTAATAATAATAAAAATGTATTTACAATAATAACCGGTTATTGATATTTTAATATATGAGTTATAACTTTTAATTAGTTTTAAGTAATTAAAATAAATGGTTAAATAATAAATTATATTTTGAAGATGTTGATATTAAATTATTGGAACCCTAATATATAAGAAAGAAATAAAATTTCAAAGTAATTCTAAATATGACTATCTAATATATCTAAATTTTTCGTACGAACCAAATCAATTCAGTCGAAATAACTTGTTATTCTTTAAGGTATTAGATTTAAGTATCAGGAATGCGTATAAACGTTAAATGTGAAATGATTTTACTCGTATTAATGGAAAAAAAAAAGTCTTTTTGATCACTTTTCTCCATAAATAGCATGGAAATTGTGAAGAGGAGAGGGCATTAAAATTACACTGCCGCTATCATCCAATGGAAAGCAAATTAAGTTGAGAAAAAAGGCTTGCCAAAACGAAAAGTTGAGATTTGGAAGCATACAAGCAGGGGTAAGTTGAAGGTGAGATCAGCATATTCCTCAATAGACGGCCCACTGTCTTGTGTTTGTTTTATTATTTGTCAGTTTCCCCCAGCATCTTACCAACAACTCTTGATGGCATCAAACCCCATATCTCTCTATGTGCATTGTATTAGTTTTTTGGCCTTTCTCCCCACTCTCAAACAACCAAACTTTTCTACCATCGGAACAACTTTTAATGCTAAAATGCACTAAAATACTAAAATATTAGTTTATCTATTATATTAATGGTGTAATACATAGAAAGATATGAATTTAAATATTTAATCTTTTTTAATGTAAAAAAGATTTTTAAAATTTGAAAAAAAGGTCCAAATAATCACTAAATATTGTATAAAAATAAGGACATATTATGTCTGCCATTTCCATGGTGCAACATTCTTGTCTTCCATGATAGACCAGCAGCAACCCCACCACATGAATTGCCCAAGTGGCCAACCTTCACATGTAATAACAACAATAAACTAATAGCCATGCTATATATACAACTCCTTCAGCATCCCTTGGAAACTCCCCCCACAGAGAACACTAGTCCCAAAAGAAAAAGAAAATGCAAGCAAAATCATTCCATATCATTCCAGCAGGGTTCCAATCGCCACCGAAACTGCTTCCATCAGGGTTCCAATTGCCACTGAAACTGCCTCACCTGCATCAACCATCCTTACCAAAGAAACTGCCACGGGCCATATCTATCTCTAACCCTGTTGTTAATCATGTTTCTGGCCCTTCAACAATACCAGACCAGGATGAGTCCATGGCTGCGTTTTGGGACTATCAGTTTTTATTCATCTCACAACGCACCGAGACACCCCACCCCGTAACGCTCCAAGTCGTACAAGGTGCAATCCCCTCGGACTTCCCTTCCGGTACATACTACCTAACCGGTCCAGGGTTGTTCACTGATGATCACGGCTCCACCGTGCACCCTCTAGACGGTCATGGTTATCTTCGAGCGTTTAGAATCGATGGTGTTGCTAAACAAGTTAAATTCATGGCTAAGTACATAAAGACCGAAGCACTAGTAGAGGAGCATGATCCCCTGACCAACACATGGCGGTTTACGCATCGGGGTCCATTTTCGGTCTTGAAAGGGGGCAAAAGATTCGGTAATGTTAAGGTGATGAAAAATGTAGCTAACACCAGTGTGTTGAGGTGGGGTGGAAGATTACTGTGCTTATGGGAAGGTGGAGACCCTTACGAGATTGAATCCGAGACGTTGGATACCGTCGGCGGTTTTAATGCGATCAATGGTAGCAACGAAATTATGCCGTCTCTCGAGAAGAAGGGTACCGGTAATTTATTGGATGTAGCTGCCCGTCTGTTGAAGCCGGTGCTGCACGGTAAGTTCTATGTATGTCCAATATTGGATTATATCACCTTATTAAATATTCCAAGTTGAATTTAATATTAGAGAGTATAATCCACCTGAATCTTGATTTCTTTTTCTAATAATATGCTCTACAGGTGTGTTCAAGATGCCTCCTAAGAGATTGTTGTCTCATTATAAACTTGATACTCAAAGGAATAGGCTTCTTGCAATATCATGCAATGCAGAGGACATGTTACTGCCTCGCAGCAACTTTACATTTTATGGTTTGTCATATTTACTACCAACATAAAATAGATTTTTTAATGGTGAAGTTTTAGTGACTTGTTTGTTCCATGTTTGTAGAGTTCGATTCGGATTTCGAGTTGTTGCAGGAACAAGAATTTAGCATCCCTGATCATTTGATGATCCATGATTGGGCCTTTACTGATACTCATTACATACTTTTTGGAAACCGCATCAAGCTTGATGTTATTGGTAATGATCAACTGCAGACCATATTTAGGATGAAGTAAACAGAAAAGAACATGTTAATGTGTTATATTTAAGTGCAGGGTCAATGGCAGCAGTATCTGGGTTATCACCAATGATATCGGCATTGTCAGTTAACCCAAGCAAGTCCACATCTCCCATTTACTTGCTTCCTCGCTTTCACGCTGATAAATCTGCCAGGCAGCGAGATTGGAGAGTGCCGCTAGAAGCTCCCTCTCAGAAGTGGCTGCTACATGTTGGCAATGCTTTTGAGGTCAAGGATGTTGATGGTAACTCAGAGATCCAAATCCAAGCTTGTGCGTGTTCTTACCAATGGTTCAATTTCCAAAAATTATTTGGTAAGTGAGTTTTTGCTGAGATTTTGGACAATGCTTTCGAATCTTACATAATGTTAGATACTGTTATTGTGACAGGATATAATTGGCAAAGTGGTCAACTTGATCCCTCAATTATGAATGTAAAACAAGGTGATGAGCTACCGCACCTTGTTCAGATATCAATAAACTTGGACTCTAATGGCAACTGCCAAGAATGTTTAATGCAAAAGTTGAATGAATGGAACAAGCCATCGGATTTTCCAGTTATCAACCCAGAGCTTTCAGGCAAAAGGAATGAATGCATTTATGCATCAACTTCATCAGGGTCAAGGAAAGCATTGCCTCATTTTCCGTTTGATATGATAGTGAAGATAAATTTGTCGACCAAAACAGCTAGTACATGGTCCGCAGGGGCTCGTAGATTCATCGGTGAGCCTATTTTTGTCCCCAAAGGAACTGAAGAAGAAGAAGATGGGTACATTCTGGTGGTCGAGGTCAGAAACCGACACAATATACTCGTCTCCGTCTATTTTGCTCCATTCTCACAGGTTTTTCTTCTTTAGATAATAATGTTTTGTTACATTTTTACAGTATGCAGTTTCAATACAGAGATGTTATCTTGTCATGTTGGACCCTAAGAGGATAGGAGAAACTGATGCGGTTGTAGCAAGACTTGAAGTCCCCAAGCACTTGAACTTCCCTCTCGGCTTTCATGGATTCTGGGACAATACTAATTAATCTGTGCAGCTAGATTGTAAATATTTAAGTAAAAGAAGAACACTAGACGATCATTTGCGTGTTACCTTCTTTTAATAAATGTATGAATTTCCCCCTGTCAACTAACTCCATGAAGGCATATTATGTTAACATATTACAATAATGTTTAAGCAATATATTCACATCATATAAACTGAAATTGATTGGTCTTTGGATGGAAATCTATGAAATTAATTTGATCAAAAATCGAAGCACGAGCTAGATGAATCAACGGACAACGCTTCAAGAGAAAAGAAGACGACGACAAGAACAATAAAATCTCGAAGGAATAATTGACGCCACCTCCCAAGAAAGATCAAGTGCCGAATCGCACTCCACACAAGAGGTATCATCGATCGTCGAATCGACTCCTAGATCCGAGGCTTCACCTAACGCCGGTCATGCACAACCGCTAGTTCCGATGGGCGATTAAACCATCAGGGACTTGGCCGCAATACCTGTGGTTCAACAACCTCTCTGCATTGCCTTCCCTCAAGGCGAAACTCCGTTTCAGCTTAAAACAGAGCTTATTCATCTTCTTTCTAGCTTCCATGGACTTCTTAGTGAGAACCGCGTAAACATCTCATAGAGTTTCATATGGTCTGCTCCAGCATGAAACCACAGGGAAAATCCAAAGATCAAATTAAATTGAGAGATTTTCCTTTTTCTTTATCTGGTTTAGCAAAAAAATGACTATTTTATTTACCTCCGAATTCTATCCATATGTGGGCTGATTTAAATCGAATTTTTCTTGACAAGTTTTTTCCAACAACAAAGGCAAGCAAATTTAGAAGAAGCATCTTGGGAATTAAACAAAAAGATGAAGAGTCGCTTTTCGACTACTGTGAGCGATTCAAGAAGATTTGCGCAAGTTGTCCGCAACACAGATTAATTGAGCAAACGCTTCTCCAGTATTTCTATGAAGGGTTGCTTCCATTGAAAATGAAGATGGTCGATGCTGCTAGCGGAGAAGGTCTTGTTAACATGACACCAAATGAAACAATATAATTGATTTCAATGATGGCAAACAACTCTCAATAGTTTAGTTCTACAAGTGAACCCAACCGACAGGTTCATGAGATAAGTACAATTTCAATTGAAAATAAACTAGATAAACTTATTAAAGTTTGGTTCTACAAGTGAACCCAGTCGCAGGTAAAATTGGATAACAAAAGTATGCGGGATATGCACGATGCTGGATCATCCGACGAACTGTTGCTCGATGTTACAATCTTCATGAAAATACATGCAATCCGGGATAGAGATCACCCGAACTTCAATTATACACATAATCTGAGGCCTAATCAAGCCTATCAACAGAGGCCACCTCCACAACGACCTTATCAGCCGTTGAATTTATCACTTGAGTAAATCGTTGAACAATTGGCTCTTTCCTAGGAGAAGTTCCAAAATCGCACTGACTCACATTTACAAGAGATAGACAAGAATATTAGTTAACTACCTCAAGCTATGAGGCACTTGGAATCACAAAGTAAACTTCCATCTCCAACCGAGGTAAACCCACGAGAAAACGTGATCGCTATCACCCTCCGAAGTGGAATAGTTTTCGCACAACCAATCCTATAGGAGTTAGACACAAAATCACAAAAGAAAGAAAAAGAGCCAGAATCCCAGAGGAAAAAAGCAGCAGTTGACGCAAACTCCCAGAAAAGAAGTGAATATGAAACATGGTCTCAGAGGAAAAAGAAAAAAATACTCACAATCTGATCCTTCACCATCTCCCTATACTGTTTCACCACCGTTCCCTTCTATGTTAGTAAAAATAGACAAATAAACTAAAGAAAGAAATTTTTTATGTTTTTCGGAAAGTAAAAATCAACGTCTGATTAGTGCTTTAAATAGTCATTATTTCATTGTTAATTACTCTTTGATTTGTTGACTTTTGTTGTTGATTTGAGCGTTTAAACTTGTTTTCTGCACAAGATATCAAATTCCATAAATCATACTTAAATAGCGTGATTCTGTAATTTTTTTATTTTCTGGAATCAAGGTCGGCTTAGTGGGCATGATTTGTATCTGGCGTGGAATCTAGTAAACATCCTCTAGAATGTCCAATCAACATTTTTGTGAAGACGGAAGACTCAACCACAAATTGGAAGTTCAAATCAGGATTTATCTTTATTTTTAGGATTTAATTCAAATAAATTCCAAGAATCATCTATTTGTCATTTCTACTATATTTTTAAGGTTTAGGAGAGTATAAATACCCCATTGGGTTAAGCTCAAAAATGTATCTCATTTTCATTTGTTCTTAGTTTTCTTTACTTTATAAAAATAATTTTCTTTTATTTTTTTACTTTCGCTTTCCTTATTTATCTTTAAAAGTTATTATTCTTAAATGCTAAAAATGATTTCTATCATGCTTGGCTAATTTTCTTCATAAGCCAAAGGCTGAACCGATGACTCAATTCCAATCGTGAGAATTGAAAGCATTTCATATTGTTCGGGTTATATTTTCAGTTCTCTGTAATCAAGTATTAGCAATCAGTCATCCTTTTTTAATAAAAATGTTTTCTTTTAAAAAAGTGTGTGTTGGATTGATTACGATTTCGATTAATAGTTGAGATGAACTTGTAGCACATTAGACTTCCTATGAACACACTTAGCAGCGATCCGCTAATGGAAACTAAAATCGGGTTCAATTCTAATCAAGACACTATAATTCAAGTAGGGTTTTCCAAAACTAAAAATAGAGTTGGTTTTAGCAAACGATTGTCACAGTTAGTCCACTTAAGGACTGGGATTCAAAGATTGATTTTGGATGATCATTTCACTTGAGAGAAAAACAAGTTACAAGGGTTGGGCCCTGTAGACTGTAAGCGACATGAATCCGAAGCTAAGATCATATTCAATGATCGATGAAATTAAGGCAAAAGCTAAATCCCAATGCTGATTTTATTTCATAGAATTTTTATCTTTATTTTCTTTAAAATTACTTTCTTTATTATCTTTAGATTAAAATTACTTTCTTTATAAACTATCATCAAATCTCTCACATTCTTTTTTTATTTTGCAAATTTTGGCTAGATCAGAAATCAAAAACCAAATTTTCGGTAACTTCCTTAGTCCCTGCGGATCGATCCTTACTCTAACTACTACTATTTTCTATTTTCTTTTTAGTGAGATTAAGGATAAATTATTTGACATAGAAATGACGCGTACCAACACCTCTCTTCTTGAATTTATCCGAAAAGTTTTAAGGTATGCCCGATTCCTTAAAGAACTATGCACGACAAAATGAAGGCTTACCTGGCATGAGAAAGTCAATTTGGGAGAATATGTTTTTGTAGTTTTTCAGCGAAGGCTTCCACCAAAGTTGAAGGACCAAGGTATGTTCCCTATCTCTTGTAAGATTGGTAAAATTGGAATAAAACGTGCAGTATGTGATTTCAGAGCATCTATAAATGTGATTCCTTTATCCGTATATAACTTACTCTCTGCTGAGCCATTGAAAGATACAATAGTGACGATACAACAGATAGATCGTTCGATAATCTATCACAAAAGAGTCTTGGAGAAAGTCTTAGTAAAGGTAAATGAACTCATATTTTGAATGATTTCTATATCATTACATGGAAAACGACCGGATAAATATTTGTTCTGAAATTCTCCTTAACGTCCATTCCTTAGTACGGTGCATACAAAAATTGACGTAAGAAGCGAAATTCTTATGATGATGTATACAAAGTAATGCGACATCCCGATAATGTTGCAAGTTTGATTTTTTTTGATGTTATTGAGCCTAGAGTTAATGAGTTTATAAAATCTAATTTTGTTGATTACTTATGAAGGGAATTGGAAGACTTCGACGAGGAAATCGGAGAGTTTGAGAAAAATTACATTTTCTTCTAATTCTCTTTAATTTTCTCGAGTTTTAAAATTTTACCTTCTATTTTGCAGCTCCTCAAATCAACTTGAAACAAATATCGGATCACTTGAAGTATGCCTGTTTGGGAGAAAACAAAACTTTACCGGTAATCATCTCGAACCAGTTATTGATATAAGAAGAAGAGGATCTTGTGATACTGTTGCGCGTGCATAAAGAAGCTATATGGTGGACCGATCGCTAATATTAAAGGTTTTAGTCCCACAACTTGTATGCATAAGATCAAAATTGAAGGAGCAAAACATTCACGAGAAGTGCAACACTTGTTAAATCCATCGATGATTGAAGTAGTGAAAAAGGAAATACAGAAGCTTCTTGATGCATATATGATTTATCCGATCTCATTTAGTAATTGGGTAAGTCCAATCCATGTGGTCCCCAAGGAAACTGGGGTTACTGTAATAAAGAACTAGGTTGGTGAGTTAATTCTGTTGAAAACATTTTGATGTTTCGATATAACAAATTAAGTATAAATGAATTTTAAGATTTTACAAATGATTTTCTAAGTATATTCGATTTAATTACTCGAATATCAAAATATTACTCCAAGTCTTTCAAAGATCAATTTCAATCCTTACTAAAGTGTAAAATTGTGTTTTAATCTTAAAATATTTTTGAAACAATTTTCACAAAGTATTTCAAACAAAAAACGAGCCTAAAATCATTTTTTCAAAAGAGTGTATCGATGTACCAATCCATGCATCAATGCACCATTGAATAAAATGAACATCGAATGCATTTTATGCATCAATGCACAAGACATGCATCGATGCACTCAGGCTATTTTAAAACATCGAATGCATTTTATGCATCGATGCACCCTTAGTGCACCGATGCACTAAGTGTTCCAACGGTCGAAATATTTGAATTTTACACATAGTGTACCGATGCAGTAGCCCTATGCATCGATGCACACACGCTCCCAATTGATTTTATTAATTGTTTTCACAAAATAACGGCTCTAATGACTTCATTAATGATCCCCAACTTTCAGAAGTGATTCAAGGAGTATTTAAACAAGCTTAGAAGCCATTGATCAACAATAAAAACCAACAAGAATCAAGAATTAAGAGATAATCAAAGAGAAAACATCAAACCTCAAGTTTAAGCATTTCAAGCCTATTTTTCATTCAATATTCATTTTGCTTTCAAGAACACTACTTGTACTCAATTGTATTCATTCTTGAGTGTTCTTTTCTTTGTTCTATAATTGTGCAAACATATTTACCTTGTGAGGTTTTTCATTAAGTTTGCAAATTTGTAATCTTCTCTTTGAGAAAGAGTGCTATTAAGAATTGGGGTATATTCTTGAGGGAGTTGTAAGGTTATCTCTTTGGCCTTAAAAGAAAGAACAAATTAGTGAATTTGTTGGAAAATCCTTAGTGTGGATAGCTAAGTTAGTGGACGTAGACTTTAGTTAAGAAAGTCGAATCACTCTAAATCGCTGTGCAAATCTTTTCAATTTTCTGCAAAGGCTTCCACCGAAATTTTAATTGCCAATTCACCCCCTCTTGGCCGATTCCATCGATCGATTAACTCAACTAATTCCAACACATATATAGAAAGGATGGAGAGTCTGTATCGACTAAAGAAAGTTGAACTCGTTAACCCTAAAAGTCTATTTTCCTATTCCATTTATAGATCAAATGATAGAGAGATTAACTAGTAAAACTCACTATTGTCTTGATGGATTTTCAGGTTTTTCAGATCTCAATGGCACCAGAAGATCAGGAAAAACAACTTTCACTTGTCTATTCGGAACATTTGCTTACCGATGGAAGCTTTTTAGACTTTGCAATGCACCCACCACGTTCTAGAGATATATTCTTAGCATCTTTTCAGATTATGTTGAGAAAGGTATTGAAGTCTTCATGGATGATTTCACCGCATATGGTAATTCTTTCAATATGTGCCTTTTTAATTTAACTAACATACTTACATGGTGCCTATAATTTAATCTCGTTTTAAATTACAAAAAATGTCATTTTATGGTTGATAAGGGGTTAATTCTAGGCCATATTGTCTCTTCGAATGGATTTGTGGTCGATAAAGCAAAGACCGATATTATACTCTCACTCTCTTACCCCACTACGATAAGGAAAGTATGTTATTTTCTTGGTCATATAAGATTTTACTGCAGGTTCATCAAAGACTTCTCAAACATAGTGCAATCGTTATGCAATTTACGAAAAAGATCAAATCTTCGACTTTAATCCATAGTGCAAGGAGTCGTTCAATATTTTTAAGGAAAATCTTATATCGGCTCTTATTGTACAACCGCAAAATTGAGACTACCCCTTGTGCTTATGTGTGACGCATCAGATACAAACGTTGGTGTGGTCCATAGTTAAAAAATTGCCAAAGTGTCACATGTCATCGCCTATACGTCTCGAACATTGGATTTAACACAAAAAATTATTCTACGACCGAAAAAGAATTATTTGCTATAATATTTGCTTTAGAAAAATTTAGATCGTATTTGTTGGGTACTAAAATTGTTGTTTTTTCTGATCATGCATCTTTACGATATCTAATGAGAAAAAGGGAGGCAAAATCGAGACTTATATGATGGATTTTACTTCTCCAGGAATTCAATTTGGAGATTAAATATAATAAAGGATGCGAGAACTTAGTAAATGATCATTTGATTTACATTCCCTCTTCTAGATCCGACCCGCCGATTCAAGAAGAAATTACCAAAGAAAATCTAATGTTGGTGCAAAATATGACTCCTTGGTTCACGAATATGGTCAATTATTTGACCACAGGTAAATTATTGTTAGATTTACCAAGAGCAGAAATTAACCGGATAAAAAGAGAATCCCGATTTTACATTTGGATGACCCTTAACTTTGGAAACACTACTCTTATCAGTTTATCTGACGATGTATCGTCGAAGATGGGATAAATTCGATTTTAAATTTCTGTCATTCCTACTCTTGCAGTAGTCATTTTATACCGAGGTGAATTTCTCAAAATATCTTAGAATGTGGTTTCTTTTGGCCTATTATTTTTCATGACGCTTTCTTGTTTTGCGAAACTTATGAAAGGTGTCAATGTGCATGTAATTTAAGTCAAAGAAATTAAATGCCTCAAAATCCTTTTCATATCTGTGAATTTTTTATGTGTAGGGAATCGATTAAATGGGTCTTTTTACTTCTTCATTTGGAAACACATATATTATACTTGCAGTTGATTATGTTTCTCAATGGGTAGAAGCTAAAGCTATTCGAAATAATGATGCCAAAACCACTGTTAACTTCTTGAAAAAAATTTATTTTTTAGGTTTGGCACACCACGAGCGATAATAAGTGATCGAGAGACTCACTTTATCAACTGGATAATCGAGGCACTCATTAAGAAATTCTGAGTAACTCAAAGAATTGCCACGACTTACCATTCATTAAAAAATGGGTAAACGGATGTATCGAATCGTGAAATCAAGGTAGTTCTTGAGAAGATTGTCAAATCGGATCGTAAAGATTAGAGTATTAAACTACTTGATGCATTATGGGAATATCAAACCGCTTACAAAGGTCTCATCAGAATGTCTCCGTATCAACTTATCTTCGGTAAACATGCCATTTATTGGTTGAACTAGAGCATCGAGCATATTAGGCAGTTAAACAATACAACATGAAGATGGAAGTGAACGGTGAAACGCAAAAATTACATATTCAATAATTGAAGGAAATCCCAAGAAACGCTTACGACATCGCTTGAATGTTTAAAGAAAAAATAAATGAATTTTATGATTGCAGGATTTCTTTTAAATCATTTGTTGCCAGACAATTTGTTTATTATTTAATTCTAAAATTAAACTTTTTACAAGTAAGCTTTGATAGAAGCGACTTTGACCATTCACAGTGGTTTAAATATTTCCTCATAGTGCGGTTGAGATTGAAGATGATTCAGGAGCTCGATTTACAATAAATTACCAAAGATTTAAGTTTTATTATGACAAATCTCTAGTTGTATTAGTTGAGGAAATTAAATTAGAGGAGCTGCCAATTTGAAAGCACAGATCGTCGAACTAACGACGTTAAAAATAACGCTTAGTGGGAGGCAACCCATTTTTAATTTTATTCATTTTTAATTTTTATTCGTTATTTTTAGTTGATGTTTTACTTATTTCAATTTTTAATTTTTAATTTTCAAGGTAGTCCGTTAATTTTAATCGAGTTCAAATGAAGTCGGAAGTTGAAAATTTATCGAACGAAGTGAAAACCGTTCCCTCGAAGCAGTAAAACCGCGCGGGAATCAACCAAATTTTATATCATTCACCCATGCGTATCGTTTCATTAACGGTGTGTGTTAGCATTTCTCCCTTAAACCCGATACAAGATAGCGTAACCAAAACCCCAAATTTACCCATTATCACCCAAATTCAAATATACCCTCATTTTCCCAACATTCTCTTTCTTCTTCCACCACTATTGCCCAATCACATGCCTTTGTAACTTTCTTGGACACCACCGTATCACCCCATCTTTTTCTATTTCCTTGATCGGTTAAAAAGTTTAATACCAGTTAAATTCTTGTGTTTATCATCATATGAACTTGCCCTAAAAAGAAATTTTTTTCTTTATTTCTCTCAATCACCGCCACTTTCATCACCAACAAACAAAATAGTCGATCGCTTAACAAAGAAACCATCCACATCTTGTCGTGCACTTTTACCGTTGTTCCGATTACACATTCCCCTATCACTTATGCCCTACTACTGCTACTCGATATTTCTTTCCTCTCCCTTCATGCAACAATGGTGAGAATAAGAAATCAATCGTCACTCTTAGTAGAGGTTGTCGTCAATTCACTATTCCACCCGTCATCGATATTCCAAGTGACTCCTACTCGCTGTCGTAACCACCATCACCAGCTCATACCTTCGTTCTCACTGCTTGTCGTAGTGGTCGACGTGCACCACAAATGCGCTCATGATCCCCTACTACTAAGTCGATCCACATCCCGACACCACTCTTCTATTGATTTTATGATCGCATGGTTCTGTCGGTCCATCTGGATGGCGGGAGAACCGTTCTTCCTTATCGATAATGTCAACGTTTTACTCCGCGTCATCGGATTCATATTCTCATTCAATGTCGAAAGTCGCTTTGTCATTCTCCGCTCATTAGGTAGTGCCCGAACAACTCAAAGAGGTAAAAGTAGAGGTAGAGGTAGAGAAAGAAATCAAAACAGTGACATCATTGAGGGAATAACCATAGTGGAGTTTGCAAAAGAGTCTCTGGAGCTTGCTTTAAATGTGGAGAGGCAAGGCATTTTTTTCGAGACTGCCCAATGATGACTAGAGAGCCTGCCCAAACAGAGAGATCCACGACTGCACCGATGAAAGGTAGAGGTAGAGGAAGAAATCAATCTGAGTCGACTGCTCAACCTGAAGTACGCTCTACCGCTCGGTTGTACAACCTGAAGACCAGTGAAGATTGTGACGATCCGAAAATCATTGCAGGTATTTTTCAGATAGTTGGTAAATCTGTTTTAGTTTTCATTGATTCGAGATTAAATTATTCCTATGTCAGTAGTAAACTGGTTAAAGATTTGAGCCTTCCGTTAGAGCCTATTCGTAGTGAGATGATTGTGACGAATCCATTAGGAAATAGTGTTCGAGTGAGACAATTCTGTAAAGGGTGTCCCATAAGGATTCATCGAATTGAATTCCCTGCTAATCTAATAGAATTACCCTTTGATGAATTTGAGGTTATTCTTGGGATGGATTGGCTTTATCATTATTATGCCAACTTGGATTGCCTACTTATGCGAGTTCAGTTAACAAGTCTTGAGGGATTGAAAGTTAGTGTGGTCAGCGAAAGAATCAATCCTTTAGATAATGTGATATCGGTGATGTCGGCTTAGAAGTTAATGCTACAAGGATGTCAAGCGTACATTGTTAATGTAATCGATACAAGAGTTAAAGAAATGAAGCTTGAAGATATTTCGACAGTTAGAGAGTTTCCAAAAGTATTCTCGGATTATTTTTCGGGGTTATCTCCAGATAGAGAGGTTGAGTTCCAGATTGAAGTAATGACTGGATTAGCACCAATTTTGATGGCTCCTTACAGAATGGCCCCGAAGGAATTGAAAGAGTTAAAAGCTCAGTTGCAATAACTTTTAGATAAAGGATTCATTAGACCTAGTGTGTCTCCTTAGGGTTCTCTAGTGTTATTCGTAAAGAAGAAAGATGGTTCGATGCGCCTCTGTATAGATTATCGCCAGTTTAACAAAGTGACCATAAAGAACAAGTATCCTCTTCTAAGGATAGACGATTTATTTGATCAACTCAAAGGAGCAACAGTGTTTTCAAAGATCGATTTATGTTTAGGGTATCATTAGCTAAAAATTCAAGAAAAAGATATTCAAAAAACAATGTTTAGGATTCGGTATGGTCATTACGAATTTGTAGTAATGGCATTCGGGTTAACTAACATACCTGTAGTGTTTATGGACCTGATGAATAGAGTTCTCCAATCGTATCTTGATCAATTTGTGGTTGTCTTTATTGATGGCATCCTGGAGTATTCTAAGTTAAAAGAGGAACAAGATGTCCATCTTCGTGTGGCTCTTCAAACATTACGAGATAAGAAGCTTTATGTAAAGTTCTAAAAGTGTGAGTTTTAGTTATCTGAAGTAGCATTCCTTGGACACGTGGTATTTGCATAGGGCATTCAGGTAGACCCACAAAAAGTTAAAGCAATGCTTGAATGAGAAATCCCAAAGAGTGTATCGGAAGTTCGAAGTTTCTTAGGTCTTGCAGGATATTATCGAAGGTTTGTCAAAAACTTTTTGATGATATCTCTACCCTTAACCAAATTATTAAGAAAGGATGTACTTTTTGAATAGACTCATAATTGCCAGAAGAGCTTTGAAGCATTAAAGAAAGTTTTAATAGAAGCTATGGTGTTAGTGCAACCAAAATCAAACAAGGATTTAACGATTTTTAGCGACGTTTCCCATAATGGTTTGGGATGTGTCTTAATGCAAGATGGAAAAGTAGTTGCTTATGCTTCAAGACAGCTTAAGCTTTATGAAAAAAATTATCCGACGCATGATCTGGAGTTAGCAGTTGTGGTTTTTGCATTTATAATTTGGAGGCACTATTTGTATGGTGAGTGTTGCTACATATTCACTGATCATAAGAGTTTGAAGTATTTGTTGATGCAAAAGGAGTTAAATTTGAGGCAAAGAAGGTGGATGGAGTTGTTGAAAGATTATGATACAATCATTGATTACTATCCCGAGTAAACCAACGTGGTAGCAGATGCTCTTAGTTGGAAGATTTTTGTTGCTTTGCGTAGTTTAGATGCTCGAGTTGTTCTAAAAGAAAATGGTGCATTAATGGCTGAGTTAAAGTTGAAACCATTATTTTTAGAGCGGATTAAAGAATTGCAAGGGAAAAACGATAATTGTTTAGCTTTGTTTAATCAAATATAGAAAGGTGGACTTAAAGACTTTGAGGTTAAGCTGAATGGATGCTTATATTTCAAAAATTGAGTTTGTGTTCCCAATAGTGTTGAATTAAAAAGGGATATATTGTATGAAGCTCATTATAGTCCTTTAACAATGTACCCAAGTGGAAATAAGATGTATAAAGATTTGAAAGAGCGTTTTTGGTGGCCAGTAATGAAAAGAGATATTACAGAAATTGTATCAAAGTGGAAATGGGAAAACATTATGATTGATTTTGTAATGGGCTTGCCTTTATCGTCGGGTAAAAAGGATTTTATTTGGGTTATTATGGATCGCCTTACAAAGACTCTGCATTTCATTCATGTGCGAACGGATTTCTCTATGGAGAAATATACAGAATTTTATAATAATGAAATAGTGCGACTGCATGGTGTTCTAATCTCGATAGTTTCTGATAGAGATCCCAGATTTACTTCAAGATTT